TTAGCCCATGAGGGCGAAAGTCAGCGTGAGAGTGGCAGGCGCCGGGTGACGGTTGGCGGGGCCGCGCAGCCTAGGCCACACTTCCGGGCACTGTGGTTACAAGTTCTTACCACAGTCTTCTAAATGTTCTCCCCCCCCCCCCGCCCCTCACAGTGATGGTCTCCCCCCCCCCCCCCCCGCCCCTCACAGTTATGGTCTCCCTCTCCCCGCCCCTCACAGTGATGGTCTCCTCCCCCCGCCCCTCACAGTGATGGTCGCCCTCCCCCCGCCCCTCACAGTGATGGTCTCCTCCCCCCGCCCCTCACAGTGATGGTCGCCCTCCCCCCGCCCCTCACAGTGATGGTCTCCTCCCCCCGCCCCTCACAGTGATGGTCTCCCCCCCCCCGCCCCTCACAGTGATGGTCTCCTCCCCCCGCCCCTCACAGTGATGGTCTCCCCCCCCGCCCCTCACAGTGATGGTCGCCCTCCCCCCGCCCCTCACAGTGATGGTCTCCTCCCCCCGCCCCTCACAGTGATGGTCTCCTCCCCCCGCCCCTCACAGTGATGGTCTCCTCCCCCCGCCCCTCACAGTGATGGTCTCCTCCCCCCGCCCCTCACAGTGATGGTCTCCTCCCCCCGCCCCTCACAGTGATGGTCTCCCTCTCCCCGCCCCTCACAGTGATGGTCTCCTCCCCCCGCCCCTCACAGTGATGGTCTCCTCCCCCCGCCCCTCACAGTGATGGTCTCCCTCTCCCCGCCCCTCACAGTGATGGTCTCCTCCCCCCGCCCCTCACAGTGATGGTCTCCCTCTCCCCGCCCCTCACAGTGTTGGTCTCCTCCCCCCGCCCCTCACAGTGATGGTCTCCTCCCCCCGCCCCTCACAGTGATGGTCTCCCTTCCCCCGCCCCTCACAGTGATGGTCTCCTCCCCCCGCCCCTCACAGTGATGGTCTCCTCCCCCCCCCGCCCCTCACAGTGATGGTCTCCTCCCCCCGCCCCTCACAGTGATGGTCTCCTCCCCCCGCCCCTCACAGTGATGGTCTCCTCCCCCCGCCCCTCACAGTGATGGTCTCCTCCCCCTCGTGGGAGTGTGGCTAGTGACCCCATGGTGTGGCTAGTGACCCCATGGTGTGGCTAGTGACCCCATAGTGTGGCTAGTGACCCCATGGTGTGGCTAGTGACCCCATGGTGTGGCTAGTGACCCCATGGTGTGGCTAGTGACCCCATGGTGTGGCTAGTGACCCCATGGTGTGGCTAGTGACCCCATGGTGTGGCTAGTGACCCCGTGGTGTGGCTAGTGACCCCGTGGTGTGGCTAGTGACCCCATGGTGTGGCTAGTGACCCCATGGTGTGGCTAGTGACCCCATGGTGTGGCTAGTGACCCCATGGTGTGGCTAGTGACCCCATGGTGTGGCTAGTGACCCCATAGTGTGACTAGGGGTGCCCATAGTGTGGCTAGTGGCCCCATGGTGTGGCTAGTGACCCCATAGTGTGACTAGGGGTGCCCATGGTGTGGCTAGTGACCCCATGGTGTGGCTAGTGACCCCATGGTGTGGCTAGTGACCCCATGGTGTGGCTAGTGACCCCATGGTGTGGCTAGTGACCCCATAGTGTGACTAGGGGTGCCCATAGTGTGGCTAGTGACCCCATAGTGTGACTAGGGGTGCCCATAGTGTGGCTAGTGACCCCATGGTGTGGCTAGTAACCCCATAGTGTGGCTAGTGACCCCATGGTGTGGCTAGGGGTGCCCATAGTGTGGCTAGTGACCCCATGGTGTGGCTAGTAACCCCATAGTGTGGCTTGTGACCCCATGGTGTGGCTAGTGACCCCATGGTGTGACTAGTGACCCCATGGTGTGGCTAGTGACCCCATGGTGTGGCTAGTGACCCCATAGTGTGGCTAGGGGTGCCCATAGTGTGGCTAGAGACCCCATGGTGTGGCTAGTAACCCCATAGTGTGGCTAGTGACCCCATGGTGTGGCTAGTGACCCCATGGTGTGACTAGGGGTGCCCATAGTGTGGCTAGTGACCCCATGGTGTGGCTAGTGACCCCATAGTGTGACTAGGGGTGCCCATAGTGTGGCCAGCAGCAGAGGAGTGAGAGCGTAGCTTTTAGAGAGGTTAAGGCTGCGGTGGGCAGCGTTTGAGAGTGAAATCTGGGATGGGAGAGGCGGGGCGGGGGTCCATCTTCTGTAAGTTAGTATGATAATTAAGGGAGAGGGTGTGAGGTAATTAATAGGGTCAGACTTAAGTTCTCGGCGACGCTGGTGGGCGAGACTTATCACGCCGTCATTGTCCCCCCTATTGTCATCACTACCGGCCGCTCCCACCACATGAAGCAATTACCTGCTCGGCCCCTCTCCCTCCCTCCCTCTCTCGGTCTCGGTCTCTCTCTCTCTCTCTCTCTCTCTCTCTCTCTCTCTCTCTCTCTCTCTCTCTCTCTCTCTCTCTCTCTCTCTCTCTGGGTAGCCTCATCCATCTGGGTAGGTTGATTATCCGCCCGGACAGAGTTTAAGCCTATCAATTTCATGTGCCTTGACTTAAGGACTATATAACTAAGATATTCATCTCATTTAATAAACACAATTATTTAAATTGAAAGATACTCGAGTGTCAATTCTAACTCTGCTATCTTGTCCTGTGTCTAGTAAGGTGGTCGAGTGCGTTACTAGTGGGCGGCTTGTTTATGAATAGAATATTATTTTATTGGGAAACCACTTAGTTAGGCTAGGCAAGCTTGACTACCTGGACACCTGGTCTAGTTACCACCATTACCCTTTCCCTCTTCCTGTGCGGTCTGGGTCCCTCTGTAGCCAGTAGCATTAGTGGAGTTGGCAGCAATTACAGTACGAGTACAGGTACACAAGTACTAGGAACATCCAGGTAAAAGAGGTATACACAAACATAAGTGTAGGTAAGATTGTTATTGTCCTTGATTGGGTTGTTATACTATGACTAGCATGCACAAAGTGTGACTAGCTCACCCATAGTATGACTAGTGTAACTCGCAAGTTCTGAACTAATGTATAATGCACTGAATACCCATCCTGTGAGTGAACCCCATTAATATCCTGTGGTTCGTAGTGGACCCTATACCCATCCTGTGGGTCGTGGTGGACCCTATACCCATCCTGTGGGTCGTGGTGGACCCACTCGCTGGGTTTAATGTTACCAGATTGGGCAATTTTTGAGAGCCCTGCGCTCCCAATTTTTTTTATTTTACTACTTGCGACTTTTTGGGCTACTTGAAAAGCAAGTTGGGCTAATTTGGGCTACTAATGTTAAACTCAATGATGATTATTTACGCTTTTATAATGTAATGTCTACAAATCCCATCCGCATCGCTTCTTATTCTTGTGATAAATATGTTGCAGGATAACTATTTTCAGTGTACTCTGATCCCGCCAATAAGCTATAATTTCACATTTATCAAACCAATGTTAATTGATTTTGAAAGGATGAATTTACTTTATCAAAATGAAGATCAGTGTAGCCTTCACACTGACTTAGAAAATTTCACTCTTGAAATGCTCAGAAGAATCATTCATCTTGATCATGCAAAGCTTAATGTTGATTTGGACTATATTTAGATATCTGTCCCTGAAGAATGTGGACTTTGTTTACGAAGTTTCTACACTTCTGGCCACTTACAGACAAATTAATTTTATTGGCCAGAAAAAGTTTCAAAATATTCAAGAAAGATGCTATAATTTTTTAGTGAAAGCTTGTAAAGAGCTTTCTCGTATTCCTAGTAATGGTGAAACTTTCAAAAAGGTGAAAAATCTGTCGCCTATCATATGCCTTAGCCACACATGGCCACCATTTTCAGAACTTCCATTAGCACTAACTGATCAATCTAAGCCTAGTGAAATTTGAAAGTCAGTGACGCCTACTGTTAACCATTGACTGGTCCAACATTTGTGAGGGACAAATTCCAACATCTGGACCGTCATTCTAGACCAAGACAATAACTGTCAAGAACGCTGCTGGCGACCCCATACTGATTGATCTCGCCGAGTTTACATTGAAAATATACAGCTTACCAATCACCAATGTCCTGGTTGAACGGGTATTTTTAGAGAGAGTAATATCTGTGAAAACTAAACTGAGAAATTGAATGGGACTTTAGTGTTTGACACCAATCTTGAGAATCAAAACATATCTTGAAGAAAACGAAACTTGGTACTCATCATTTGAACCACTCATGACAATGCTTAAATGCGAGTCTGCATTATTCAAGTACGAGATTGTGGAGACAGACGAAGATCTTCTTGATAATCTTCAACTGTGAAGACGATGAAGGACTCTACACCCATTATGCGTCATACAGCAAATATTTATATATCTACAAGAAGGTACATTGGGTTCATGAGGGTACATAGCATTGATGTTTTTTACATTCTTTTAAAGCCACTAACACTCATAGCGTTTCGGGCAGGTCCTAAATTTAACAATTTTAAGTAGGCAATTTCTAGCAAAATTGGGAAATGTTAACAGGTAAAATGTTAATATTGGTAAGCTATCCTATTATCACATTTTTGTATTATATATATAGGACGAGATAATAAAATCATTAAAATCGTGTAGCATACTCTATTAAAATATATTACTCCGAAAATCGTAATGGTAACTAAACAATAAATTGGGCTACTCTTATTAAAATTTGGTAGTTTTAGACCGGCAGCTCGCTACTTTCAGCTTCTCAGATCTGGCAACCCTGGGCCGCCTGGGTTGTAAACTGTGGCCGCCTCTCCCCAATAACAATGGCCTGTTATTCTTTAATAATAAACTGTAGCAAAGCTTGCCTTTCATAGTCAGAATATACACGGCGGGCCGTGCTATAGCTCACTGCTATTCTTCTGCGAGCTAGGGCGTTACTAGTGGAGTTATTAAGTACGTTTACAACAATATCACTGTTTGATGTTTTGTACATGTTAATAACCTTTATGATGCTCACTAAAATAAGTATAGTTTATCATATACTTTCGTATGGAAGTTTTTTAATGAACTGTTGTTGGACCAGACCCTACGACCAGCACGCGTCGGACTACCTGGAGGACACGACGAGCGTGTCAGTGGACCCCCGGGACGAGGAGCTGGTGCGGGAGTCCCTGCGGGTGTGGTATGGCCTCCCCACCATGCCTGCCAGCGCCGCCGCCGCCACCACACTACACCTCTCCTACATTCTTCTACCTCTCCTCCTCCTAGGCCTGCTCCAGTCCTTCTGGCCGGGCCAACCTTACATTCGGTGAGTATTTTTTGTTTAGCTTTTTTGGCTTACTCTTATTATGAGGAGGACTGATCTTATACAGAGTTTGTATTCATTATTTTCAGCTACTCCATTCACCCTGCCCAGGTAGACCTTCCCAAGGGTAATGTTACCTGCTTTCCAGCGTTATCTGTGGTAGGACGGTGTTCTGACGACGACCCAGATCGGGAGTCCAGGGATGTTCTAAATACGGACGTGTCTTGACATGTGTCCTTACACTTACATTCAGGAATAACTCAAACACTTGTAAACTCAATTAAATATTTTTTTATAACCTTCAACAGCACCTTGTAATAAGGGATGATTCAAGGGGTTAGGGACAAGTTCTCCGGATAATCGCCTTCGTCCTATGTAGTCAAATTAAACAACATTAATAACTTGCAAGTAAAATAATTAAATTTAGACATTTACTTAAAAGGAGTATTACCCCACAATGATATTATATATGAGATTAGCTTTCATACATTTTACCCTGCTTGATGGGGTTCTGGGAGTTTTTTTACTCCCTAAGCCCAGCCCGAGGCCAGGCTTGGGTTGTGATAGCTTGGTCCACTAGGCTGTTGGTTGGAGCGGCCCGCAGGGCCACATATCTACCACAATCCGGTTGGTTCAGCACTCCTTAAAGAAAACTATCTAGTTTTCTCTTTGTGTCCACGGTTGTTCGGGCAATATTTCTTGTACCAACTGGAAGGATGTTGAACAACCGTGGACAGTGTTTATACTGTGTTCAGAATACTAGCAGTAAGCAAGTTTAGACTGAAAGGAGAAAAGTATTTATATTAGTATAAGTTAACCTCTTTTTATACTCTGTGTTAATGCAATATATCCATTACCTCGCGATGCGTTCCACGAGTATAATAGATCACAGTATCTTACCTTTGATGACGCTATGCATGTATACATGTCACTAGCTCCAAGGGCAAGAACAACGAAAGCTTTCCACTAATAGGAAGATTTCCAAGTTGTGTCCGTAGGGAAAGATCCATCATCTTTTAAGTTGTTCAACAGCCAGTTCCTAAACTTGGTTCCTATGTATTCATAGTATAAGTTGACGCGATAGTAGAATGCGTATAATCATATAATCCGTCAGATTATACGTGGGCAGGAAGAAGAATCTTAGCACATTTGATGTTGGGTAGCATCACCAACTCGCTACAGTTGTACAGACGAGTAATATTGTAGAGGACTCGCTGGTGTTAACAGAACCAACCCTCCGCCAAGACTGCCCGACCCGCCACGTCGCTCCCGAAGTAAACTATCAGAGAGACAAAGTCAGTAATTGGGCAGCGAGCTCTTGACATGACTGGAGGGAGATGGCATTACCAGGTAATTGGCCAGTTTAATTACGTAGTTTCGTTAATATTAACACCAACTCCAGCCTATCAATAAATGTATAATTCCGGGGGTAGTATACATTGTTCTTGAACAGTCCTGTTCGATCCCAATACATATGGTAGCAGTAGCCTAAGCCACTCTATCCTTTTGAGATGTATCTTATTGTCTCTGTAAATGTACTTGAACTTGTCTTCAGTATTTTCCCAGATACACGACGTTCTTGTTGCTACAGTGTGCATTGAAAATGAAATAAATACACAAAGGTAGCTCAAGCTATTCTCACCCCGTTCACTACAACGTGTTCACATATTTACACATAACACAATCAACATATTACTGAACATTCTAGTTGATAAACATATACACTTCTACATGTACACAGACACTAGTGTACTAAACGTGCCGACAGATACATACAAATACTTGTATAACTAAGTACAAGTACATAGACATAAATAACAATACTAGAGGCTACAAATAAACATTTAGACAAATTAATGAAAGTGTACAACTTTGGTGCAAAATTCTTGTCTCTCTCCAGACTGCCATCGATGTTTCCATTATGACACATCCGGGCTCTTTGTTCAGGAACAATCCTTATGTGTCTTCATACATCAATGAACGAGCTCTCGAAGACATAATAACGATAATATATTACGTCGGGAGACGGACAGCCAGTTTATACATATAATGCATGTTAGGCTTATATCGAGGTCCCCCCCCCAGGATGCATCCCCATAAGAAGTTGACTAACTCCTGGGTGAAATTATTTACTGCTAGGTGGACAGGGGCATTAGGTGATAGGAAACGCCCGGGATTCGAACCCGGAACTCTCGATTTTGAGTCGAGAACGAACTCTACTGTAATACCGGGACCCACAAAATATGTGAGGGTGAGGGACTCACTCTCACATAATTTATATAATCATTTAATTCCACATAATTTACACTTTTAATTCCACATAATTTACACTTTTAATTCCACATAATTTACACTTTTAATTCCACATAATTTACACATATATTCATCATCATTACCACCTGTCCCATATCCCCAATAGTATTTGTGCTTGAGCGTGTGTATACTGAAGTCACTCCGAGGTGTAACTTGCTTAGCTAAAAGGGTTTTGGGGGTTCAGTCCTGAACCCATTATGGGCCTCTACATCACTTTCCACTACCGCCCATAGGATGGGTATGGGGCGCATAATAAATGACTACTAAAACTAAGTAGCTGAGTATGAACACGCAGAAGTGGTCTTGATTTGGGAGTAGACTGACATCGGGACCTTAAATAGTGTTATTGGGCATGATTAGGGTGACGGACACTGTCTACGGTTGGGGCGCCCACCTGCGCTCCCACATATTGTCTTCTGCCACCCCTTACAAAAAAAATATATTTGCAAATGTAATTTTTTTAATCATTATTATACAACATAAGTTACAAACTTGGTTACATACAAGGTACAAAGTTATTTGTTACAGGCTCTCGAGTTCCTCAAGCTTCTCAGAAATACATACATATTCATTCTATCGTTTTGGTATACATATGATCTCAATGAACTTGTATACTTGGACGTGACCGTTATGAGATGGGAGATAGGGCGTGGACCTCGACTTAGTTATTATTATTAACATCTTTATTGACAAAATTAATTACAATTTTGCCTTATCTGAGGATTTTGATAGTCTTATTAAAGTGAGGATAATGCTGGTATTGGTGCTCTTAACACCTCCACCACACCGACATTTCGGGACATTCCAGGAATTCCAGTTTCACTCCTTGACATTAAATATTTCTAGTGCGCAGCTAACCATCTCGAAGTTGTGTTCGGTGGGGGGGGGGGAGGGGAAGGGGGTCAGCGGCCCAAGTGTGAGGGAGGGAGGAGTCGTACCTGGCGAGGGCGGTCAGGGAAGGGAGCGGGACATGAGTCAGCGTCTCGGTCCTAACTCTCCTTGGTGACCTCCCCCCTCCCCTCCCTTTGTCGGTCGAGGGGCCGAGGTTCATATTCCCGACAACAGTGAAAATCTGGATGACAGAAGGATGGGGGAAGAGGACACAGCCCAGCCTTTCTCTCTACGCCGATATAATCAACAGTTGCTGTTGTATACCACAGTAGCTTCATGGACAAGCAGCCAGTGTGGCTAACTCGCCTTGGTACAACAATCAATGTCGCAGCGGCCCGTCCTGAACTCTGTTCCAAGTGATGGGTGGAAAGCCTTTGTTAAGATAGCCAGGAAACGAGGGACATTTTATCTGAATTTATACTAGGACCACCATCTCTATAGGATCGCCGGGCACAGGAAGCCGTCGGCTTGTCAAAGGACCCCCTCCCCCCCATTAATCCCCGATACATTTTTCCAGTTACATATTGTTGAACAAGTAATGTGAGGAGAAGGGAGGAGGGCGAATATACTATTTAATTAACAATGCTGTAACGAAAAATGGTTTGCTCGAGTTGACTGTTGTGAAGCTGATGAAAGTTGTGCATCTTGCTTGCATGGCTCTCAACGGGCTAGCATAATAAAACACATTATGCATTTAGGTATTCTAATAAATGGGATTTAAATGTTTCATTTGTTACAAATGGTGGTACATTAAGCCCCACTCTCCCTAAACTTCGTGAAGAATGTTACCTGCGCTAGTCAAAACAAACTGCTTCACACCTGCCTGTTAATTCCTTGCACTTTACTTGAGGTGACCTCTGACCCAGCACACGTTACTCTTACGAACTCTCAGGACTAAGGTTATATATTTGACTTATTGAAGCAGTAATGAAAACTAAAAAGTACTAGACCTTATAACAATACAAACATGTTTGTTAATATAGATAATTGGATCAACGCTACGCGAACGTGTAGCTTGATGAGGTAACCAACCACACTATAGTATATTACGGGCTCACCTTAGCCCGTGCTACATGGACTCTTCGTTCTGAGTAGCTAACTCTAAAACAACAACAACTATAGTATATAGCGTGGTTAGTTTTTCTGACAATTTTTTCAGATAATAATTCCAAAAGGATATCCTAGGCTATTTGTACCCTCGTCTATAGTGCTGGATGTGTTGGGTCATGCTGAACTAGCTCCTGCAACTGGGTTTGACCAGTAAACAGACGGGTGGCCGTGCAGTCTCTCCTTGGACTAGGGTGGACTGCCATAAGCCTAAGGCTGCCTGTCCCCGAAATCTGAACCAAACCTGTTTTCTCATACTCAGGGACAGGAACCTGTTAGGCTTATTCAAATGCCAAGGCCAACTACGTCTTCCCCAGGATGCAACCCACAACAGTTGCCTATCTCCCCGATACCTAAAAATTTCCCCAAAGGGCGAGGGGTATTGGGCAGCGTCACCTATTCTGTTGAGTGAATTTACCGCCGTTGCAGCCTGTACTTCCGGGGTACCTATTAACATAGGTTGCCTTTGTAGGTGAACAGAGGCATCACTTGAAAAGGAAACGCTTTGCTGGTCCTGCCGCTGGAAGTGAGCCGGGAACCATTCTGTCATGGCCGCGCCAACCCACCGACCAGGCGTGATGTTATGTAACTCCTGGCCGTCCAGGCGGAGCATCAAGGTCACCTCGTCTCCGCCCGCCACCCCCGAGGAACCCGCTCTCTTAACGCCAGACGAGACGTACTCCTCGACCTTAGGAAACACTCTCTCCCGTAGTCACCTACGTAAGATTATCCAGATAATTTCAATTTCTTTCTTTATTATGCACCTCATACCCATCGCGTGGGCGGTGGTGTAAAGGGTTACAGAGGCACATACATAATCGGTTCAAAAACTGAACCCTCTAGTTAGTTTAGCTAAGCAAATAACAATCTTTTGACGCTAGTTACACAATTTTGAATGTTTTATATACATGTACACATACATACATTACATATATATATATATATATATATATATATATATATATATATATATATATATATATATATATATATATATATATATATATATATATGCATACACATACATATACAATCACCTACACAAATACACACATCAATAATCTGTTGTATCACAAGTGATTCAACAAGAGGCTCACCCAGACTATAGAGGTTTTATTTGGGTTGGAAGCTTACAATGGTATTTACAAGATTTGGGTTAGTAGCCTACACTGCTGGTATTTACAAAATACAAATGATGCAGACGACGACAACTGTGGATACCCAGACGGACGCTCCACGGACGACGACACCTGTGGACACCCAGACGGGCGCTCCACGGACGACGACAACTGTGGACACCCAGACGGACGCTCCACGGACGACGACACCTGTGGACACCCAGACGGGCGCTCCACGGACGACGACAACTGTGGATACCCAGACGGACGCTCCACGGACGACGACAACTGTGGACACCCAGACGGGCGCTCCACGGACGACGACAACTGTGGACACCCAGACGGGCGCTCCACGGACGACGACAACTGTGGACACCCAGACGGACGCTCCACGGACGACGACAACTGTGGACACCCAGACGGACGCTCCACGGACGACGACAACTGTGGACACCCAGACGACGCCGACAGCGGTTCACAACACAAAGAAAGCAGGAATACTGACGACACAGGACGATGAGGACTACGCGTCTTCAGACGAGCATGTGGACGATGAGGATCTCCGACGAATATGAGAGAGGCTCCGAGGATGCATTCGACACCTCAGTGTACGAACGCCCATGTTTGAGGGTCACGATGCACCTGGTATTTTGGACACAAACAATCACGGGTCGATACACCGCTTTCAAAGATGGCCAAACTATCATCATCGACGTATCGCGGAGTATCGTAGAGAAATTCCCACGATGCCCTACACCGTCGCCTGTGGACACCCATATACAGACACGAAGCCACAAGGAACAGAAAAAAATGTAAAGTTAGAACCCCCACCCCCGGTGCTGTGTGGTGATTGATTCTGCTACACAACAATCCAAAAATCCTCCCTGGGTGCTGGGTTAAGCCCCGTCTCTACGAGTACGCAGCTTCCTCTTCACACTATACTTCCGACTGTCCCACTTTCCGCTCACATTTTACCCGATTTAATTTGCAACGCCACAAACCTCATCCATTATCTCCAGTATCAACAATTGGTACTGGGTAATCGCTCCAAAGAGCCTCCACTTACGGGCTATTCATGCCCGTACCATCATCTTGAGTGGCTTAATCTTTATCAATCAGCAACGCAACATTACAGAAAGCACTTACTGTACTGTTAAATGTGATCTCTGAGGCCCTCCTGCCACCCTAACAGGTATGGGAAACGTCTCTGCTAAGGCTACATAATACCCCCCCCCCATATGATTAATTCAAGGCAGTTATAGAATAGAACAAGGACGTGTAGTTTACTATCAACAGTCGCCGTGGCTCCTTGACAGACACTCCTGTCAATGGACCTTTGGCATGGGTTCGTATCCTGGCCGGGAAGGATTTACTGGACGCCAATCCTTCACTTTAACCTCTGTTTACCCAACAATAAAATGGGTACCTGGTTGTTAAACGATTTGGCGGGTCATATTCCAGGGAATATTAGGAGTAAGGACTTGCCCGAGCCACTAGCACGCATGTACAGCCACTGTGTGCTAGCGGCTGTACAAGAATGTAACAACTCTTGTATATGTAAATAAATAAATAAATAAAAACTTAGTGTTCCTGCTATCATTTAATTTACTAATCTTTAACACCACAATAAATATGTTTAAATAAAACGTTCAGGCTTACATGTATACATTTATTGACTTTAATTGTAGTTTTCTTAAAAGTAAGACATTATATACATTGTTAATGACTATTTTACTTTGCTTAAATATTAGTATTATTGTTATGGGTTATTAAATATGAAGAATGAGATTAATTTCGACTAGGCAAGTTGCCTAATCAGCAGTCCTTAAAATTGTAAAGAATGTTAGTACAAACTGAGCAATGAATTAAGGTGACTAACTTTATTATTCAAAATTTCTCGTATAAAATAGGCGTCATTCATTAACAATTTAATTAAATAATTAACTTAAAACTGGAATATTTGTACACAGTCGAGCTCAGGTTAACATTAATGATTTTGATCATTTCTATAAAATATTTTACAATTCTGATGTGGGTCTATATGAAGGTGTAGCGGCAACGCCAGTGTTAGTCTTGAACCTTGAAATTACACTCTCTGTTAGCCAGGGCGGAAACTTGTCTAAGGGCATCACTATTGTCATGGCAAGTTGCCTTTCAAATTCGATAAAAAAGGCGTCGTAGAGTTCCATCCCGGCAGCTACAGGCATCTTCTTTGAGAACATGAAGGCCCACATCTCGTGAGAGAGCCCGTGCATGCTGGCTGCTAAACTGGGAAAGCGAAAGGCTAATGCCATTGCGTGGGAGGTCATTCCTCGCATCACATCTACCCGCCTGATCAACGCGGAGAACTCTTTAGGCGGTGAGGTTGAGAAACTGAGCGGGTACGGCTCGGCTCCTACTTGCTGGTCTCTGGTATTTAAATGGGATGCGCACCCGCTAATGAGCGCTTCCCCATACAAGACGTGGATCATTGGCACGTGCAAACCACACGAAAGTCTGTCTCTTATAATAGACGGCAAAGTCATAGGCGTCGTAACAGAATTTGTGTAGTGTCTCTCTCTCAAATCCGGATGAAATCTTAATATAGCCGCAGCTACGAGGCTCGCCGAGAGTTTATTATTTTTCTTCAAATATAGGTGTCGCTTGAGACGTGGGATCACTTCGTTAAGAGCGGTTGGAGGCGTGTCTTTGAGAAATCTTGTAAACAAGGGAATCAGAGTCTTAAACGCGGGGGGGACCTGTTTACGATCCAACTTGGGGAATATTGTACAGGTGAGCACTGCCGTCGCCTCAGCGTCGGACTCCGTGGTGGTGGTGGTGGTCTCCTCCTGGCGAGTAGACCGGCGCCTCTCTTGTATGAAGCCATTGTGTGTGGAATGATTTACAGGAGAATATCTCGAGTCCGGAGAGATAAGCCGTTCATTTGGTTGGCTTGCTATGTATGTGGTGTTTGTCACTATATTATCCAGCACTCTGGGCGATGTTTCACCACTACTCACACTCATTGATTCCACACTGTAACAGTCACTGTATTCTCGTTTCCTCTTGCTCTCCATGATCAATAATGTAATTATTTTCAGTATATATAATACTGATTAGTTATATAAAGCAAACTAGGTGCAGTACAAGGCACAAGGCGATGGCCTTGTTACCGGCAGGTTTACTCTACAACAAAGATAATCGCTATCTAAATGTTCTGGCAAACCCGGCGATATTATGGTTGTACTTCACGTTAAGGTGAAGAACGAGTTCCTGAGGGCAGACCCTCCTCCCCTGCCTGCCTCCCTGCTACTGGTGGGCTGGCCAGAGGTGGCGGGGTCACCCTCTGTATGGCTGGTTATACGCCTGGCTATGGTTGCCACAATTACTAAATACATATATTTTCTCGCGTTAATAAATTGTCACCGATGGACACTGGGAACTGCTTTACTTACTTTACATTTTTACTTTAAAATGTAAAGTTAACATTTTATGAAATATTATTATCGTTTAGGAAACTTGCGGATGTGACATAATTGTAATTTTGTATAATTTAATTATATAAACTGGCAACTCAACCATTTGTATGGATACGGGAACACAAGAGTTGTACCTCACCTTTTTTTTGTTTGAGATATATACAAGAGTTGTTACATTCTTGTACAGCCACTAGTACGCGTAGCGTTTCGGGCAAGTCCTTAATCCTACGGTCCCTGGAATACGATCCCCTGCCGCGAAGAATCGTTTTTTCATCCAAGTACACATTTTACTGTTGCGTTAAACAGAGGCTACAGTTAAGGATTTGCGCCCAGTAAATCCTCCCCGGCCAGGATACGAACCCAGGACATAGCGCTCGCGGAACGCCAGGCGAGTGTCTTACCACTACGCCACGGAGACTAAGACTGTAACTGACTGTAAACTGACTGTAAACTTCTCAAGGTACAGCTGTGTGGACTATAGAGCTATGTGGACTATATAGAGCTGTGTGGACTATATAGAGCTGTGTGGACTATATAGAGCTGTGTGGACTATATAGAGCTGTGTGGACTATATAGAGCTGTGTGGACTATATAGAGCTGTGTGGACTATATAGAGCTGTGTGGACTATATAGAGCTGTGTGGACTATATAGAGCTGTGTGGACTATATAGAGCTGTGTGGACTATATACAGCTGTGTTCACAGCTGTGTGGACTATATGCAGCTGTGTTCACAGCTGTGTGGACTATATACAGCTGTGTGGACTATATACAGCTTTGTTCACAGCTGTGTGGACTATATGCAGCTGTGTGGACTATATACAGCTGTGTTCACAGCTGTGTGGACTATATGCAGCTGTGTTCACAGCTGTGTGGACTATATACAGCTGTGTGGGCTATATACAGCTGTGTTCACAGCTGTATGGACTATATACAGCTGTGTTCACAGCTGTGTGGACTATATACAGCTGTGTTCACAGCTGTGTGGGCTATATGCAGCTGTGTGGACTATATACAGCTGTGTTCACAGCTGTGTGGGCTATATACAGCTGTGTTCACAGCTGTGTGGGCTATATACAGCTGTGTTCACAGCTGTGTGGACTATATGCAACTGTGTGGACTATATACAGCTGTGTTCACAGCTGTGTGGACTATATACAGCTGTGTGGACTATATACAGCTGTGTTCACAGCTGTGTGGACTATATACAGCTGTGTTCACAGCTGTGTGGACTATATGCAGCTGTGTTCACAGCTGTGTGGACTATATACAGCTGTGTTCACAGCTGTGTGGACTATATACAGCTGTGTTCACAGCTGTGTGGACTATATACAGCTGTGTTCACAGCTGTGTGGACTATATGCAGCTGTGTGGACTATATACAGCTGTGTTCACAGCTGTGTGGACTATATACAGCTGTGTTCACAGCTGTGTGGACTATATGCAGCTGTGTGGACTATATACAGCTTTGTGGACTATATACAGCTTTGTGGACTATATACAGCTGTGTGGACTATATACAGCTGTGTTCACAGCTGTGTGGACTATATGCAGCTGTGTGGACTATATACAGCTTTGTGGACTATATATAGCTGTGTTCACAGCTGTGTGGACTATATACAGCTGTGTGGACTATATACAGCTGTGTGGACTATATACAGCTGTGTGGACTATATACAGCTGTATGGTAAACAGGCTACACAGTAGCAGGCCCACGGATTACGGGCTCACTATAGCCTGTGCTACATGGACGCTGTCCGATGTGGCAACACGTTCTGTGTAGAACGAAATGTAGCTAAATCTAATCCAACAAACAAGAACAGGCCTACGGAACAGGGGATATATACACAAGAGAAGTGTAACAAGCTTCCGGGTGTACATACATTGAGTTTGCTTTAATCCTGGACTATGTTCAGAACTAAAGTATCCTTGCTGGCTGGTCAGTAAGCTGCTGCTGCTGCTGCTGCTGCTGCTGATGCTGCTGCTGCTGCTGCTGCTGCTGTTGCTGCTGCTGCTGCTGCTGGTGTTGCTGTTGCTGCTGCTGCTGCTGCTGCTGCTGCTGCTGTTGCAGCTGCTGCTGCTGCTGCTGCTGCTGCAGCTGCTGCTGCTGCAGCTGCTGCTGCTGCTGCTGCTGTTGCTGCTGCTGCTGCTGCTACTGCCGTAATAATCTTGCAGAGATAGATAGGCTTCAAGCCCAATACCATACCAAACCTACTTGTATCAGTTTAGTTTTTTTTTTTTTTTTGCAGGGATATTCCCGCGCGGGTCCGAGGCCTCTGGCTGGCCCACTAAGTGTTAATCGTTTCTTGCTTCTGTTTTACTTAGGTGGTTGATTAGTATGACCTGTTTTTTTTTAATTTTGCCCCGAGGGGCGAGTTTATTGGGCAGCGCCACTCATCCTGTGAGTGGACACACCGCCATAGTGACAGTATTGGGCAGTGTCACTCATCCTGTGAGTGGACACACCGCCATAGTGACAGTATTGGGCAGCGCCACTCATCCTGTGAGTGGACACACCGCCATAGTGACAGTATTGGGCAGCGTCATTCATCCTGTGAGTGGACACACCGCCATAGTGACAGTATTGGGCAGCGTCATTCATCCTGTGAGTGGACACGCCGCCATAGTGACAGTATTGGGCAGTGTCACTCATCCTGTGAGTGGACACGCCGCCATAGTGACAGTATTGGGCAGCGCCACTCATCCTGTGAGTGGACATGCCGCCATAGTGACAGTATTGGGCAGCGCCACTCATCCTGCGAGTGGACACACCGCCATAGTGACAGTATTGGGCAGCGCCACTCATCCTGTGAGTGGACACACCGCCATAGTGACAGTATTGGGCAGCGCCACTCATCCTGTGAGTGGACACACCGCCATAGCAGCATGTACAACACTCCCCAATAGGAAGAAAACCCGCTGGGTTGTTCATCCTGTCACTTGTACCCAGACACAGCTGGGACTTGCTTAACTGTCTCAAGTGAACAGCTCTTCAAACAAGAAGATTAACATCTGTCAACCCTTAAAAGCTTACGTTATCTTGCGGGTGCAAATTGGGGAAATCTTTTAAGAACAGTATCAATATTTGACAAATATTGTTTTCCTAACTCAAACAATGTGGGGTTCATTATTCTACACATATTTTTAATGTCTCTCAGGTGTTCACATTCACGTAGATAGTGGTCAAGGCGGTGTCCGTCACTCTCACCATAGATTCTGCAACTTCGCTGATCAACTGCTGTTACCTTTCCATATCTCCATGGATATTTGTATCCAAGACGGATTCTCGCTATTACTGATTCTCTCCCTCGTCCTCCTCCTCTTCGTCCATAATGATTGGGATTGCCAGCTGCAACCATGTTGTACCATCGTATAGGTTCACTGGTTTGTGCTTCTATCCTCCTTTCCTCAGTTACCTTGTCACGGTGATGTTGCCTGACAATACCTCTAATTTGTAGTAGAGTCTTGGGTATGAAGTATTCAATATGGTCTCCTTCAGCAGCCAGCACATCTGTTGGTTCATTCCCACATATTCCGACATGGGAGAAGAAACTTTATGACTCTTCCCTAATTGGTAAGTACTCTCACAGCTCTCTTAATGTCAGCGACTATTGCAAGATTTTCTGCCCGATTTTTACTTAGGCTTTGCAGTGCTGCTTTTGAATCGGTGCAAATCACTGCACCATTAGTGTTCCGTTCAAGAAACCTTAACGCCATAACAATGGCAGTTAGCTCTGCTTGTGTTGAAGAGGCATAGTTCTCAATACGTGCTTTTTCTTCATTTCTGCGTTGGAAAGCATTATTCTTAATTACCGTGTATGCTGCATCAGCCCTGCCATTGACAGGATTAGATGACCCGTCAGTGTAGCATGTTTGCTTCAGTAAGATTATAGCCAATGTGTAACAACTACTTATGCTCTGTTAAATATCGGTTGAGATCTTATTTGGTTTGTAATTCTTGACTGTGTTAGATAATGTTCCATGGAGTGGTCTGGCGGGATCAGTTTATTGACCTGTAGTCAACATTTCTTAGTGACATTTTCAAGCCTTACTTTATCCTCCCAGCACCACGTATGCTTCTCAAGTTGTGCCTTTATATTGCTCCAATTGTTTAGCTTTCACTGTCATATCATTCCATTATCTTGAATCAAGACATAAAGGTCGGTTCAGGCGCACTATTTATTGACATATATATACAAGAAGTTACATTGGGTTTATGAGAGTACATAGTATGATGTGTTCACATTCTTGTAGAGCCACTAGTACGCACAGTGTACAAGCGGCACTATTCGATGCAGACCTCTGGACAGATCTATTCCCATTTTGATTGTTTTAATCAAGGCTTTTATTGCAACACTCACTTAATATCCCTAACTTATCCTGCTTTTATCACCGTCTGTACAGATGCCTCTCTCATATCTATCACCCCATGACACAGTACCCCATAAAAGGCTGATGCATAAGCTGGAGAAACAGGCAGGAGTAACTGGTAGGGTGCTCCAGTGGATAAGGGAGTACCTAAGCGATAGGAAGCAGAGAGTTACAGTGAGGGGTGAGACCTCAGATTGGCGTGAAGTCACCAGTGGAGTCCCACAGGGCTCTGTACTCGGACTTATCTTGTTTCTGATATACGTAAATGATCTCCCAGAGGGCATAGACTCATTCCTCTCAATGTTTGCTGACGACGCCAAAATTATGAGAAGGATTAAGACAGAGGATGACAGCTTGAGGCTTCAAGAAGACCTGGACAAGCTGAAGGAATGGTCGAACAAATGGTTGTTAGAGTTTAACCCAAACAAATGTAATGTAATGAAGATAGGTGTAGGAAGCAGGAGACCAGATACAAGGTATCATTT